ACACACACACACACACTCAAACTGTCAAAAACACAGTAACTTGTTTGTGATGGCTCACTGTTTAATACCTGTCAACAACTTCCATATGAATGTGTTCCCAGTTGAATAAATAATCCCATCAAAAGAGATAAAGATTAATGATGTATTCATCATACAATGACAAGAGCTTCACGCTGCACATAAAAGATCAGTATCTAGATGTCAATGGCAAATCCTATTTGATGAGATTACTGAACAGTAGGAAATACAATGCCACTTCACTGTCACGAAAATTAATGCTACATTCATAAAACATGACATGTACCACATACTTTGTAGACATGAACTTTTCCAAGAGGATACCCCCTTAAGTCATGAATCTGAACATATTAATATGAAAACACAAAAAGAGCTTCAATGCACATTTTGATGGCTGAAAGGCATCTGTGTGTGAGCCTGAATCATAATGTGTGTCAACATTGTCTTCAGGTTATTCTACAAAGAGGAAAAAAGCAACAACTTTACCTATAATTATACTGTAGTCACCTTATATATGGTCATTAACACCATCACTTGTCATGTGTACTGTATATAGCAAGCGCCAAAGATCCAGACGTGTTAAGGCACGAGCAACAGATGACAGGGCAAGGCAAGTGCTGACAGTGTAATCTAACCTCAAGTGTTTGGCTCGGGCGTTTCACATCACATACTGTGTATTTTGTGGTAAGATAGCAACAAACGTGTGGTTTTGTGGTTGACTGTTAACATTTGATTGACTTCATCTTATTTTATTATGATGTTTGCAGGCTTCAAAAAGCAGCTACTTTGAATATTTACAAAGTTGTTAAATGACAGACACCTATAAAGCTTTAAAGCTATCTCTCCTTGTCTGCATCCAACCCTTCTCCAGCTGCTGGGTTTGGGCTGGGTCTGGGTGAAGGAGCTGGGCTGGGTGCTGCAGGGGTCTTGCGCCCAGCGGGGATCGGTGGCAGGATGACCTTCACGTTGGATCCAGGACGTCTATCAGAGGAGGGAGACGTGGCCACTGCTAGCTGATCTGTGTCTGGACGGGTGGCTTCAGGAGTTTGGTCTGATGCCAAGGGTATGAAATGGGAATATTTTACTTGATTTTTCAATTACAGATATACAAACACATATAACAAATCTTAATAACTTAATATAGACAGCTAGATTATCTTATAATCATGTGTACTGATTTGGTGATTTACAGACAGTAAGGATAATTGTTTTAAACTATAAAATAAATGACTAAAGTACACATGAAAAATATAGTTTGCATGGAATATTGTTAAAACTTTTAGCATAAAAAGTGTACAACAAATTACTTGTTAAACTGTCCTCTGTCCCCTGACCTCTAGTGGCCCAAAAATATCTCCTCTCTTTGCTTTCTATATATAAGAACATAGAACAAATTATTTAAAAAAACAATATAATAATAACCTTTAAGTGTTTCCAAAGTGTGTCCCAGGGCAGAGATATCTAGCCGCTCCACCAGGCCAGACAAGGCACCGGCCGAACTGGGCACAGAAAGTGCTGAACTAGCACGAGACTCATCTGAGCTTCAGGGGGTAAAGAAGGGATGGAGGAAGAGACAAACCACAGAGGGTGAGGGAAAAAGAGACAGACAATGAGAGAAAGGGGAAGTTCAGGTAGTGAGAGGTGTACTGCAATGTGTGCAGTGGAACAAAACAAAAGTTGTTAGAAAGTGAATAGCTTCTGCAAAAAGAAAATATAGCAAAATGTGCTGTTGGTAGTTTCACCATTGTCCTGGGAACACCAAGAGGGACTCCAGAGCTGGAGATATTTATTGTTATTGGTACTCTACAAACAAACAGGTATATATTTTGGGCATTTAATTTACTCATATACTGTAGTCCATGAAGCAAGAAGCATATGCATGCACACAAACTCACATGAGTAGAAATAAAAAAACCCACACGCACAAGACTATGCCAGGAAGAAGAAGAATACAAAAGGATCCTCTGTTACGGTGTGTGAGATGGATACACACAAGTAAAGACATATCCCTATTAAGAGCAGTGTAGACAGATGTCTGGAATCCACTATAGAAATACTGAAGGGCTGAGTAATGCTAGCAGTGCATACTGGGGGCATTTATTGCTCCGACCGCGTTGACAGAACTTGCAGATTTTCAACAAGTTTGGTGAAACTTGCCTTCTGAGAATATGTATAATACCCACAGGCAACAAATTAGATTTGACTGAACACGCACTGTATGTCTGCATGTATCTTAAATGTCCTCTTCTGAGAGATCTAACGAAATAAATTCAATGCTAATTTGTGCAGGTGAGAGAAAGCTGTGTGTCGTGTTGCATGCAGAACACACACACACACACACACACACACACACACACACATACTATGTCAATGTCTGAGTGATTAAATCCATATTTGCGCAGTAAGCCTGTTTATTGAGAATAAGTGTACACACAGGGGAGTCCAAAGCTATAAAATCAGAATTTATGAGCGGGTGCATTTGTGTGTGCGCATGTGTGTGGGATGTGTTCTCAGATTTGTCCCCACATGGACTGTACCAGTAGAATGAGCTCTATAAAAGTGAACGCAGGCTGTAAAAACAGGCCTGGGGAGTAAGGAATACTACTACAAAAGCTGTGTCCTGCTCCTAAATCTTCAGCCTCAGATTGTTTTTTTATGAAACCACAAGGCTTCCTCTGGATTCTCTCACCTCATCTTAAATCAAAAACTATTATAATGAATTTAGAAACCATATACAGAGTGAAATCTTATACGACTTTGAAGTATGTATATAAATCTGTTATTGTCACACAGCAGGATCTGGCCTTGTGACTTTTGACAGCGTGTGTGTGTATTCTCACCTGCTGTCCTCACTAAAATGGGAACCAGGATCGTGAATATCCAGTGATGATGGTTCTGTCTGAGCAGATCTAAGGTGTACAAAAAACAGGAATATATAGTACAGAAAAGTATAAATCAATGGAAAAGCTATTTCACATTCAGATTTGGCAAGTGGCAGGTATATTTTTAGGACGACTGAGAAGAGAGTGCCACTAGACAAGCCCATCATATTAACAAACAGTTAGATTCAAATAATTTGGGCACCTGCCACATCACCCTCAAGGTCAAACAATAACCCACAACAAACCATCAAAATGCAGTTAGGACAAGTGCACCAATTAAACTAATTTACCAGCTGAGAGTGCCCACTTGAAATTAAGCATTGGAGTGCAGTGGAGTGTGTGCTACTTATAATGCACCTTTTGAAGAGCTGGCTGTAGACCCCTGGACTCTTCCCCACTATAGCCTCTCTCACCAGCTGCTCACGCCTGCTGATGGAAGCTAGCTCCTGCAGAGGAGAGAGAAGGAGGAGGAGTTTAGAAGAAGTGGGGAGGTGAGAGGAAGGGGAGACAAAAGGGAGAGTGAGGTTGATGTGGAGGGTGATTAAAGGGGAGAGGAAAAGGATGATGTATGGCAGTGAGGATGGGAAAGAAAACCAGCATCTTGTTAGAAGATTGAGGATTCTTTTTGCATACATTTTATACAGTCTAGATGTCTATTTAACATTCACTTGCAGGCGTCATTACCAATACATTTTTCATCAGACATGTTGTAACTCACAGCGGGGCTCTTCTGAGGGCTGAGCTCTGCCTGGATCTTGGCAAAATAGTTTCTGTACAACGGATCTGAGGGGTCAAGAGCTGTGGCAGAGTGTGATCCTGATCCTGATCTTGACGGGGGTGAATGTGGCTTCTCCTGTGGCTCATGACCTGAGTGAGAAAGAGACAGATACAGTATATCAATACTGTGTATTACTGTATATTGTTTCATGTCTGTATGAAATCAGATTCATAGACATTACTATTATTATTATTAATTTAGACAACACCAAATCTAATTTATTGCCACATTAAAGGGGCACTCCAGTGATTTAGTATTGCAATTTCATAAAGTTGAGGAAAAGATTTAGAAAGAAGGGTCTAAATTGATGCAGCATTAAGCAAAGATATCCTATTACTCATGTGATTTATAAATAATAATAAAAAGTGAAAACTGTGCAAGGCGCACTTGACTGCACTTTGCACCCTGTCTGACTTCAAAAAATGAGCGAGTCTGCTAATGATGATCTAAACAAACAAACCTGCGGAGGTGTTGTCAGGGGATGTTCTGTTTTGTTTTTCTCCTTCTTCCTGCTCCTCTAGCAACAGGTACCCCTTCACTACCTGCCTCAGTGTCTGATAAGCCTCTTCCCAGTCATCTACTCACACATCCAAGTGCGCACATACACACAGAGCACCACACACACACAAAAACAATCTGGTTGAGAACAGAGCCAATGCATCTCCCATCAAACAGCAATGAATCAAAGATATGGGGATGATGACCTTAGTGTAATGAGGTGCTAGCTAGCAGTGCATAAAAGTGATGAGGTTCCCCACTCCCTGTATGTTCATCTCATTAAGAAAACAGCTAACATGTCTGAGTGCTTTCATGAGGGAATGATAAACACAGCTATTCTGCGGCTACGTGCCCTTAATACATGTGGTAATTGGATTGAAAGTGTAGCGTATGGATTTTAGTGAAGTGTGTTAATTTATCTAAGGCTATACCAATGACACTTGTGCCGAGCAGGGCAAGGTATTTTTCGCTCTGTGAGGCATTACAATGATAAACTGCCTGTGAACAAAGCATTCACAGAAGAGACTTCCAAATTTCTCTCTTACTAACATCATACATATCCAAAGGTTGAATAAGTAGAAAGAAGCAAATGTCTTCTCTGGGAATCAATTAAATGTTTTCTTAAAAAATAGATTTTTGTTGAAAATTAATTGTGAGTATTTATAATTACACATTGTACTACAATTAAACTTTCATTAACTAATTGCAAAATGGGTCTGTTAAGCCACTAGAGGATATTAAATTAGCATTATTATACTGTGTAATGTACACTTAAATCAACAGAAACATCATCAAACAACTTAAATAAATACATTGCAAGACATAATGATGATGAATCCCCGTACCACAGGGGATAATGTTATCGAAGAATCCCGGCCGACGCCTGTTGGTATTTGCGTAAAACACTATACGTGACACCGCCGTGTCAATCTGCGCTTGGGTGTAGAGGTCACGGCTTTTCAGGTGGTCCATGTACTTCTCCACCTGGGTGGGGATAAGCAGGATGTATCGAGGCTCAAAGTAGCTGTTCTTCAGACTGAACACACCCTGCAAGGACAGACAAACAGTTTGCAGTTCTGTTACAACAAGGGTTTAATATTGTGTTTATTGCAACTTTGAATTCTATTTGAACAGTTTGAACTGATCCACACGGGGCTGTAGCAATTTTGGAGATGAAAACGGACTGTCTAACAACTCAAATCCACTGGCAACACACTTCCTCACACAGACAGGTAAAAGCAATTTAGTGTTTCATACAGTGTTTGTACGACTTACACGGTCTTATCCTGAATCACAGAAAATATCACAATCAGCTTTCATTCCAATAAAGCACACTATTGATACACAGAAAGAAGCTTCACTCTCTGCCCCGTGGCTTTAAAACAAAACATCACTGATGCCCTTGGAAGTAAAATTTTTTTGCATTATCTTCTAACAGAAGACAACCAATATGGTTTGACAAAAAATCTTCTCCCCCTTTCCCTTTAAAAGCAGTATATAAACATTGAATATAACATTGTTTATAACACACTGTAATGTAGCTGTATGCAGATATAGGCAATATTTACTTTGTCAACAATTATAAATTCTCCTATGAAGACATATTTTATTTTACTACTGGTTTATACACCAGCATCCACTGATGGTTGCCCACATAAGTTTTAGTTGTTGACAAATGCATTAATAAACACTTAGACCTGCTTAAAACTACTTTACTGTACAGTGTGGTATATAATTTATTAAATGTTTATATCCTACTTAAGATAAACATATTTTCACATTTATTGTACATGTAACAACTGTATAACTGCACATCTGTATTTCACTGTGCTGTGCTTTAGAAAATGTATCTAACATATAATATAGTATACACATATAATATTCTATACGTACTATATATAAGTATATCCTATCCATCTCTACTGTATATCAATCTACTGGCTTTAATGACCACATATGGTATTAGCCAGAATTTTCCATACGCACCTCTAGCTCCATATGCACACAGCAGGCTAGTCCTTCTCTGGCTACTTCCTCGATGGCGTCTCTGGTCAGACCGTACCTGTGACCCCCGTACTGCATGGTCTGGATAAACTTACCCTAAAAGGGAATTATGAGCAGAGAACATTTTAGTGCCCTACTTTATTGTCCTCCTATCATCATGTTACTAGTTATGAGCAGCATTTATCTCCTAAAGGGGGCATGAATCTTGACATGCATACACACAAACGCCTGCATGCTCTATCAAGATTAACAACCTAAAGCCATTTGCCCACCTGTGAACTGAACTTCTGACCCTGTTGTAACCTGGTTTGTTACTTCTCACACATGACCCTTGACCTTTTGTCTGACAGCTTTTAGGGCAGTTTCATTTGAAAAGCATAATTTATAACTCTTAACAACCTCATGGCCAAATTCAATCTAAAACAAGAATGTCTTGTTCTTTGGTTTGTGGTAGCAAAAGGGAATTGAGACAATGAAATAAAACTGAAAGGATTTGTTATCATTCCAAAGAGATGTTGTACTTAATAAATGTGTATGATATATTTTAACTGTAATTTAGTAGCTGTTGTAAAAAGTAAATGTAAGTTTAAAGTATTTTGTTTTGTATTGTTTTACTGAAGCTTATTTTGACTAAATGACATTTGCTACATTTAAAATCACAGCAATTAGAAGGCACAGTCTTTGTAACATTCATGTTGAAACCGGCCTGCCAATTAAATGACCACATGTGGAGCCAGTAGCAGTAAACAACATGCCAACAAGAAACTGGGGATCTAACTTAGCTTCATTATAAAAACAGACTCAACTCTCTGCCATTTAGAGCTGCATACAATATGAAAGACTGCATGATACACAGATGAGCCACAACATTATGAGCACTGACAGGTGAAGTGAATAACACTGATTATCTGGTTATCATGGAACCTGTCAGCGGGTGGGATATATTAGGCAGCA